TGGTTTCCTTTAGCACAATCCCTTCCAGTTCCATCAGTGTTGTCACAAACCACAAGATTTCATCTCTTTATAGGTCAGTAGTATTCCATTGTACACATACACCACAGCGTCTGTATCCACTCAGCAGTTGTAATAATGGTTAAGAATGGTTTATGTGGGGCCTCCCTAGTGGCGCAAGGGGTTAAGCATCAGCACTATGAAGCCTATCCACAGCCACTGCTGCATGAATTCCATGATCCCCGGCCTGGGATGTGACCCACATGGCGCAGCAGACCTCTCCTGTCTCGCTTGCTGCTCCCCTTAGTGGTGTATTTCAGTCAATCTGCCTGTTCTGTTCCCCATTGTGTCTCTGGGGAATCCTCTCACTCCCCCAATCTCTGGCCTATACCCCAGTTCTTGTATGCATAAATAAATAAATCTTTTTTTAAAAAAAGAATGGTTTATGTGACTTTTCAAAGTCCCCTTGTAGCGGCAGAGCCAGGACTCGAATCCAAGCAATCTAGTCCCTGCGTCCACACACCTTTTGGTGCATCTGGTACAATGCACTATCTCATCCAGGTCAGGTGCTGACGCCATGACCACTTTCAAAAAAGGACTGAACAACTTGAATTTCAATCTTAACTTTTCTTTCTTGCATTGAATCTCTTAATGTTGCTGCCTAAATGGCAACGTTCCTTCCTTCAACTCCCTTATGGCATAGCTGACATGCCCAGCAGACCAGCAAACACCGGTCAGTGACATGGCTTGGGGAAGCTAGTGGTGCGTCTGAGATCTCAAGTGTTCAAGGAAAAGCCATGGCTGACCTCTCATTCCTCCCCACTCTCTAGGATCCCAGGGGCAGTGGACGGCTAGGGCTAGCTCTACATCAGCCATCTCCCCCCACAGCAACTTCCTACCAAGGTAGGGACCCATCATCTGGGTTATAACTATAAAGCATTTTCAAATATTGCTTTTCCATGCATCCAAGACTGCATGCTTTCTCTAGTAATAGGGTATCCACAAGATGGGGGAAATCTGAGGATGAGAAACAGTAAACAGTTTATGCTAGAGGCTCCATCCTCACTTGAACGCATAGGCAGATTTTTTCAGACACCCAACTCAATCTTAAGATTTAAACTTAAAGATCTCTTCACAACATAACTTTTGAAAGTTTTCTTATTGTGTGAAAGCAATTCATTTTTTAAAAAACAGAACCAATTTAGAGATTATTTAGTGACTATCAACTCAAAAATATGGTAAAAATGTTGCCCTATTCTACTTATCCTATGTATTTACTTATTTAAGTCTAAGATTCTCTTCATTTTCAAAATGTAATTTCTTAATGTGTTTTTCTGTATTAATAAAGGAGAAGAGACTGAATGTGGGTTCTGCTCCATACCTTGCTCCTATCTCTATTACTTGGTTGAACTGAGTCACCCCAGCAGGAAATGGCTTCCCTTCCCTAAACTCTTGCAATGTGTTGCCTAAACGATTTTCTTGTTTTTTTGCATGCTTGCCTATATTTCTGCACATGCCTAGTTTTCTCGAAGGAGATACTCTTTTGAAGTCTCTTGATCTGGGGCCCACCACAAAGTCAGCACTCACCAAATACTGGCTGTGCAGACAGGAGGAATGAATCAATTTTCCGAAAGGAGAGAGAGTTCAGCTACAACAGTGGCAGAACCAAACAGAAGATTCAGATTTTCAAAAATCCTAACTTTATGCATAATCAGCAATTGGGCAGTAAAGATCATCTTGAACTTGGTGGAGTCATTTTGACTCTGTTTAGGGTTTTTAGAGCATATAAAGACCCCTGTTGAGAAGAAACATTGTGGCTTTTCTTCTTTTCACCAAGCTTTTGGATCTCTCTCCAAATGTTACTTCAAGGATAAATAGAATACTTGGAATTTCCCTTACAACGTTTGTAGATGCAGGCCTTAAGTAGAATTCTCTAATTTTAAACTACGATCTGTTCTTCCTTTACATTTCTCCTAACGTTGTCTTTGTAGAATTAAATGCCTGGATATGAAAAGTGAATGTAAGGCAGCTGATTCCAGAAGTACATTTTAAACGTTAGGGCATTTGCGTAGGGTTGAAGGCACACTACAGGAGGGTGCAACAAAAACGAATTGTGACCGTCTTTCTCCTTGACCTTTTTGACCAAACTTTATTACTCATTTAATGGAGTTATGACAAAGAGTAGGAATCAAAACACATGGGGATCACAGAGGCTGTTATGTTTATTGTGCAGAACAGACAGTGATAATCCACTAGAGAAATATTTTCAACAAGCAAGCGATTCAAAGTACAATCATAGACAGCAACTCTACATGAAGAACAAAGAATAGTTAGAAGACACTCAAAGGAACAGGGAGAAAGTCAACTGCAGTTAAACGTCTTGATACTTTTCTCCTGCAAACATACCTAACTTGCAGAAATGGTAAAGTTCAATGTCCAGTCTTACTTAGCTGAGACCAACAACAGCAAAGAACAGTCCTATAAAATTTATCTCCCACAAAAATAAACTATATATATAAAAATTTTATGATGTTCTTACTGTTCCATTGGCCACAAGCTTTTGTTTTTTTTCATTATGAAAAATGAGGTATACTGGGGCTTAGAGGTAGTAGTGTGTTTTGATTGTACAACGATAGTAAATAAAAGGATAACTTCATCAGAGATTGGAAACCACTCGGTGCTCTGAGTTTGGCCAACATGAGGCACTGCTTTCGTTTTATGCTCTGGCCAACGAGGTTTTGAAAAGGCCCAACTCAAGATATGGAAGGGGACTTTTATTTTTCTGAGCCACTGTTTATTTGCTTATTTAATGCACAGTTAACAGTTGTTTTCTTGAGTTTTAATTCTCTCATAGTTCCTTTAGTGATTCACCACAGTGAGTCAGTCTCAGAAAGGCATGTGGCCTTTGAAACTACCTCCCTGAAGTGGCTGGAAGAGAGATGGTTTTGAGTTTCATTTGGCTTCAAAACTAAAAGCCACACTGACACAAGCTGTCACGAGAAACTACCTCCTGGCCCAGTTGATAATACCACGGTAAAAAGTCAGCACACTCTAACTAGGAGAGAAAGGAATAAAAACTCCACATAAGAAGCGCTTAAAATAAATCTGGTTGAGACATATTACAAAAATCACATTTGTGTAAAATACATGAAAATATCTGTCAAGCATTTTTTCATATTCAACTAATCTTAAAAACACATATTTTTGATTGCATCATGCAAAAGCTGAGCTTGTTGCATCTCACCTACAAAGCTTCACGTTTCTTTGAAGGTTGCCTTTATTTCATTTAGTTATTTGCAAAAGTAAGTAAAAATGTGTTCCTTTCTATCAAACGTCTCTTACAAAAATAGTTTTGACTAGGGATAGCTGCAGTCTGAATTATTGCAAACACTGACAAAAACGAATGCGGCAAGGAATAAGTCCATTCCTTTCGAAGTCTGGAGGTAGGTCTTTGCAAGTCAATTAGTCCATTTCCTTAAACAATTCATTTGAGGTACAAACTTGGAGGGTATTATTTAAACATTACAGTCCAATTTCATGTGATGTATAGTGTGATTGAGGAAAATTATCCTTAAAATCCTAGGAGCGACTTGGTTAAAACAATATTCAAGTTAATGTAGAAATCTAGCAGAGAAACTGAAACAAGTATTTGTAAAATTTTAATTAAAAAAACATAGAAAAATACATAGCCATGCTGAAACACAGTAAGGAGACTGCTTCTTTAACTGCAATTAAGTGTACAAAAAGAACTGCAGATGATTAGAATCACCTACCCATTACGTTTTTCTCTTGCATTGTTTGTGTATAGCAGCATGTAATAAGTACTAAACTGTAAATTAATTGTAACATTCAGAGGTAGTATTGAGTAGTGGGGATATATTGCATCTCTGGCTAAAAGTGCAGTTTGAATGAAGAGATGGTGAACTGAAGTCAAAGTAAAACACCTCAGCCAACCATCCTATGTCAAAACATATTCCTTGACGTAACACATAAGCTTAATTTGAGGTAAGTGGTATTTAGGTCTTTCACGGAAATTGATACACAATGGAGAGAGAGAGTGTGAGAGAGTGAGGGAGAAAGAGAGAAAGCAAGAGAGAGAAAGAGAGATTGCATTTTTTTTTTCAATTGTAGTAGATAACATAGCAAAAGAAATTTAGGTTTCGCTCCTCCCACCTCGTAATTCAGGTGAGTTCATCATGCATTATTCTGTTGTACCTTTTCATTAATTTACAAAGAGGATAATTTTGCTGTCTAGGTTACTTAAATGCTTTGAGGCTGGCAAATGTGATTTATGGCGAAATGGCATTTGGTTCTGTAGGAAGTAGATTCTACCAGGACAAGCGTTGTCCTGAAAACGAGCACTGTGAGTAAATGTATTTCTCCCACTGATGTGTGTGAGACATAAAGATTGGCGCTGGCAGTATTTGTTCTGTATTGTTACTTCCCTTTTTGTAAAACAAGCATAACCTTTTCTGGGTTGTGAGCTGAATGAAAGGCATACATCAGCATTTTGTCTCACTTAGAAATAAAAGTTAAAAAAAATCATCAAATAAGCATCTACAAGATTATAAGGTAAGAGAGAGAAGTAGTATCTAGTCCTATCTTTGGTGTTCTAAACAGAGCCTTCTCTACAGTGGGCGGGTGGGCGGGCGGGGTGGTGTCTGATGGTGCCCACGGGCTGGTGGACACCATCCTCTTCTCTATGAATGTCCAGCGTCACGAGTGTGACCTGTTTCTGGTTTGTGGGCAGTGCAGTGATTGACTAAACCCCATTCAGAGTTTTTCTCACCCACCCACTCTTGCTTTCAGATCAACAAACTATTAGTAGGTTAAGAAAAAAGAAAACAGTAATTAAAAGTTGCATTGTTAAACTGTGTCCCCTGTGTTTACAGCAGTTTTTCACTAAACCTGGGACTGTGAAGGGATTACAAAGAAGGTGATTAATATAGTCCTTTTAAGGTTATGTGATTTCTCCCCCCCGCCCCGCCCCCACCCCGCCCCGCCCCACCCCCGATGAAAGTGGAAAGACCATGGCAATAGAGAGTAAGTGGTCACTGCAGTGTCTTCTCCCTTCAAAAGATCCAACTGCTGCTGAGGTAGAAATCGAATGTTGGCGCCCCCTAATCCTCTTCTGCAGACTCTTGTGAGGATGTCTCTTCAGTCTCCTCCTGGAACACACAAAGGGCACAAGCATTACGCCGTGGACCTTCTCACTAACAGCTCCGAGCTGACCTGTTTCCACAGCACATTATGTTTGCTTCAAAAGAGGATGGTGATGATTGGCAAGCCTCCCACTCCCAGGGCTTCTTAAACTGTAATTGAGGAATCAAGGTGTTGTTTTTTCCCAGAGCGACCATTAGTCACTGTTGACTTAAGGCTTGACATGATGGTGGCTGGTGAGCAAATTTAATTGTTTGCAGTCCAGAGAACATTAGGCCAATACAGGCTTACCCACCAATTAGAGTATAAAAGAAAAGGATATATTCTTCCCAACAGCAAGCCAGCCACCAGTTAAAAAAAAAAAAACAAAAACAAAAACCCCGTGTACAAAGAAAGAAAATAAAGTTAAGGCAGAAATAGATCCACCCTCCAGATATTAGAGATACTAGCTGACACATTTACAGGGCTTAATAAATGCTTTTAGGGACTGGATATTATTATTCCCATTTTACAGATGGGAAAATCAGGCACAGCAAGGAGCGTACCTAGAGTCACAGGGGCAGCAGGGCTGGGATTTGGGCCAAACCAGACGGGTGCCAGAACCTGTGGGTGACTGTGACCGTGCCATGGGGTGGTAGCGTGAGAGCAAGAGCAGACACTGAGAAAGGACTTGCAAGAGTTGACTATTAACTTCTTTCCAAATCGATTTCCTCATTCTTATATTTATTAAAGCACATTTTAAGATAGTGACCAAACTTTGGCATAAGTGCTCATTCTCAAAACCTAAATCCACATCAAGCAAACACTGAATGGTGGGTTAGCCAAGCAGAGAAAATCTAATATATATGTTTTTGCAGGCCCTCCTCTTCATATAAATCTAATTCCTTCTTCTCTTTTCCTTTTTCTGATTCCTTATGGCCCTGGAATTTATTGGAGTTTCTGCAAGTTGGCTTGAACTGCACAGTTCTCTTTCCTTTTGCTTGTTTAACAAATGTGCAGTACCTTTCAGGACATGGGTGGTAAAGCGGAGACAATAAACATTTCTGATAAAAGTGTCGTTAGTGAGAGGATGATTTTTATCAAATGCTGCACATTGTCTCTTAAGACGGCCTGTGAAAAAGATCTGCAAGAAGAGGTAAACATTTACTCCTGCAGCAAACTGAGCCCCTTTAAGAATGGTCAGCTTAAAACAGCTTATAACAGTCTTCATACTTTAATAGATTTGATTTTCCACATGGCTTCATTTTGTCTGGGTGGCTAACTGATACAATTTATACCTCTCTTCCTTTCCCAGGTCACTACAGTACACCATTCAGTAAAGAATGCCTTAAAGCCTGTCTGCATTATATGACCAAACTTCCATTCATTAGTGTTTGAAACACTTCAGCTGTGAAGGGGCTCCTAAATGCTACCATGTGTGACGCTTTTGCGTAAAAGCAGCAAACGGGAGGGGGGAGCCTCCATGAACCGGCACTCACACACTCACATGAATGCACACACACATACACACACTCACACACTCTACCCTGGGCTTTAATCACAGGCCACTGCTTACTACAAACCCTTTGCAAAAGATTTCAAACATTCTCTTCCCCTGAAGACTGAGAGAGCTGTAAATCCTGGGAATAAACACACCTACAAATGAATGGATTACAGCCTATATATATATATATATATATGTATACATATATAAAACCACAGCAGCATCAAGTCATGAGATTTCACACCGGTTTTGTTTAGTCTGCTTTGGGTTATGTGGGAAATGTGGAACGGATGAAGCTACCTCCCCTCTCCTCCCAACCCCCAAACTGCAGGCTTCACATATTTAAGCAGCAGGTTTATACCTCTTGATAGGCAACAGGCCATGACCCCGAGGTTCTCCAGGAGTCCTGGCCACAGAGGAGGATGTGGCCTGATCAAAGCCATGGACAGACGAAGGAGAGACAAGCCAAGGTTCAGCTGGCCTATGACCTTGTCTTTTCACTTAATATTTAAATTCCAGAAAGTCACCATAGCTGTTCAGCAGATACACTCTTCATCCATCCCCAAATGACTCACTTCTCATCATGACATGAGGTGTGGACCTAGGTTACCACCCTAAAATAAGGGCCATCCTGTAAAGATTGGCAAGTATATTTTATTTCTTCTCAGGGTTAACCAATGAATAGAACTCAATCAAGCTGGAAAATCTCCTGGATGTAATTATTCCATTTCCAACTGCTCAATTTTTCTATACTACCTGGAAACCAAAGTACTTTCAAGTCCAGAGGGATATAGAATTTTCAGGCCATGAACTTACAAAGACCTCATAGTAGCTGCAATGTGATGGGTTTTTCAAAACATTCTCAGAAACTTTGTTAGATTGGAGTCTATTCAAAACCCCGAAATAGAACTAACTCATCTGAAAATGATGGTCCCTAACATTGTTACCTTTAACAGTTCTTAATGCTACCAGGAAAGTTGTTTTATTGCTGTATGTATCTTTCTGCTGACCTTGACATTCTTGTACTAGTAGCTGTCAGATGTCTGGGCACATAACTAGGATGGGATAAGGTGGGACTCTCACTCTGTCAAATGTTTACAGGTAATGGGGCTTTCACATGCTCAGAAGAGAATGATGGTTTTCCTCAAATGTCCAGATGGTGGAGAACTCTCTCTTCTTGGCTTTGCCCTGACTGGCCACCCTCCAAAGGACAGCCTGGCCCCCAAGTGGATGACGCTGCAGGGTGTTTGGCATTTCTCTGCAAACCACTGTTCTCAACTGTATAGTGAGTGGCCTTTTGCTACATGTGTAGCTGCTGTGACCAAATGTGTTTGATTGAGGGAAAAAAATCCTCCCAGTCAGGTATAAAGATGAAGTTGGAAAAGCACCATGGGCTGCTCTGAGTGTCATGGCCGGATGGACCCCACAGAGGGCCTGGCCACCATGCAAGAAGTGGACAGAAGCTGGGTGTGGAGGAGGGAATAAGCAACTGGCTGTGATGTCCCCAGGGGACCATCTTTCCATTCCAGCATAGGTGGGAGGGACCCCTGAGATTCAATCCTTTTCTCTAACTTAGAAGACACTGCCATTTAACAGTCAATAGCTTGTACCTTAAGATGTTTAAATTGTTTCATGTTTGAAACATATGGCCAAAGGACCTTTGATCCTGTGTAGCCCCCCAAGAGCAGCTTTGAGGTACGAGGAGACTGAAATTCTGTAGCCAAGAGTTACCCTTTTCTCATTAGGGGCTTGTAGGCAAGGTGGGAAGGCCCAACAGCCCAGTCTGGTCAAGGAGGGTTACCCGTGGAACGGGTTTCAGAAATGTAGGATGAAAGGCCTTTTCTAAGCGGAAGTGTGCAGTGACATTTTTATGAGCACCAGCCGCTAAGGCCTCTAAACACTGAACAGCTCCCCACCATCCACACAGCTACTTTACAAAAGACAACTGAGGCTGCACCACACCGCAACAAAAACACGTGAATTATTTTGGCAGAAAATAGATGAGAGGGAAAGGAAAGTGGGCGGAGTTAGAGAACTGTATTTTTCTTATGACTAGTGGCAAATTGCCCTCATTTTGCCTTAGTTTTTCTTTTGTTCACAAAAAAGGAATTTAATAAATTTAACTCTTTCATTGCTTTCGTTAACATCTAGAAATATTCCTTTCTTTTGATTTGGTTCAACACAGCGCATGCGGCAAGCACTTCTGGGTATTTTTTTTCCATTAATGGATTTGGAAGGAGGAAGACAAAAGCCCAAGATTCAAATTTGTCCCCTAATGCCTGACGGAATTTGCAAATGTCTCAAGAGTTTAATCAAACAACTTACCACACAGCCACAGTGAGGGTTGCATTGGAGGAAAACTCAATATTTAATGCAATAGCTAAAGCTCTGGGTTTCATTTTCAGATGCAGACTAAACAGCAGGTTGACAGTGGAAGGGAAGCCAGTGGATTCTAAATGGAACTGAGAAATGGCAACCCTCTCCAGGCAAAAATCAGGAGTTCTGTCCCCATGATGCCCCTCTGTGTGTGGGAAGGCTTGCAAAGTCACGGATGTCCATGTTGGCTTTAAGAAGTCCTTACTTCTCTCCACCCACCCCCCCACCACCCCAAGATAAAGAATTCTGCATCTCTTTTGTTATAAAATGCTGCAGTTAAAAATACATTTGTAGGGCCTCCCCTGTGGGGCAGCGCTGGGTTGCGAAGCTTCCCGCAGCCTCTGTTGCACCGGTTCGATCCCTGGCTGCTCCCCGGCCACCTGAGAAGGGTCCCGCATGGCGCGCAGACCTCTCCTGCGGCCCGCTGCTCCCCTTGTTAGGGGGAAAAGGATGTCCTAAAGCTAACTCCATACAGGCTTTGTGGACTCCACCCCCACCCCAGGCCAAAGCCAAAGCCACTGGAAACTCCAAAGTCACCACCAAAAGGAAGGTGGCTGGGACCTGAGGGTGGGGTTAAGCTGCCAGGTTGGTATAAAGCCAGACACGTGGGCTTTGGAGGGGTCCCCCATTTTGGCTCTCTGGCAGCTCGCAGCGTTGGGCCAGCTCTGAGAGTGCTTTTTGGGTTTCCATGTCGGCGGATCGGCGGATCGGGTAGGATGCATTAAAGACTTTATTTCCCTATTTTCTCCCTAAGTTGTACATTTTCCTTATTTCCTTTTCCCTTGTAAATAAACCTTTTATTAACCTTTTGTGTATGCCTGTAGTGGAGTATTAATAAGTCCCTTGTAAGCGCGCGGGTGAGGACCCACAGCCAGGCAACCCATTCAATATCGGGGCTGCCCTATAACACCCTCAGCAGTGCACTTCGGTCCTTCTGCCTGCTCTGCTCCCCGCTCTGGCTCTGGTGAATTCTCTCACTCTCCTGCACTTCTGACTGTACCCAGTGCATGTATAAATAAATAAACAAATACATCTTTAAAAAAAATACATTTGTAATGTAAGCTGACTTGCCAATAAAACTACAAACACCTGATAATCTAGAAAAAGCAGTTACAGCTTAATGACATATCTGTTTTGTCATCTTAGTGT